GCGCGCATGGGACAATAGAAGCTACCTGCCATTAGAGAAGCTGACAAGTGGGCTTTTTGCGGGTTTTCCCTGGAACGGGACTCTTCCTGTTGATCTGTCGGACAAGGTCGTAGAAGATCTGCAAACGAACACGAAGAAATGAAACCTACACTGCCAAAAACTGCCAAACATTCCCCAAACTACTAATAAAATGCCAAAAACTACTTAAAAATGTGTCTGTGAAGGTTCTCAGTCATCCAGGTCATCGTAATCTAAGGAGCTTGGAAAGAAAAGTGTGTGGACTTCTTTAAGTGGCTTGAAGACGTTTCACCTCTGAGAAGCTTCTCATCCGAGAAGCTTCTTCAGTTCTCGGGTCAAATGGTGGAGACTCCCAGATTTAAGCTCTGTGGGAGTAACCCACCAAGAGGGACAATGGACCCCCTAATGATCCTCTACCTAATCACACGAGCCAAGGTGTGAAAATGGGTGTAGGTCACAATCAGCCAAGGTTTTGGGTGAGCTCATTGTGAAATTAGCCCCACCCTATCATGTGATTTCCTGAGGTCAGATGGCCCAGGATGTGAGTGGGCGTTAAGGCGTCTGGGAGGGATCTCAAAACTGGATTATAGATGCCAGACAGTTGGTGTTGTAAACCACCGCCTCTGTTCAAAGATGGTCGCTCACAGTGGACATAAATGGCCTCTTTTACTCCTCTTTCAAATGTACACATTTTGGACAGAGAGGATGGTTTGAAAGAGTCTAAATGCATATTTAGACTATAATAGTCATAAAATGCTCATATCCCCAAAACCAACAGAGCAGCAGCTGAAACACAAATGCTAAGGCTTCAAAATGTCTGAAACTAACAATGAAATCCATTTTTTCTTTGTCTATGACAAAAACTCTGGAGGAATAGTCTGATGTTTGTATTATTACAGCTTCCAGCGTTTTTGAGCCAGGACCGCACACATCACAGTGATTCTCTCGTGTTGCACGCTGTAAGCTTTATTTCAGTTTTTTACAAACTCCAGATGATGTGTACATCATTTTGCCGAATCAATGGTGCTCAAAACTCAGAAGCCCAAAGATATTTAGGTTTAAATACAGCTCTGAGTAACTGTGTAAACTTTGCTGTGGGTGTGTTTTGTCACCTCGTTGACGTTAATCTTGCTCTTGGCCGAGGTCTCAAGGAAGGCGCAGGAGTTCCACTGGCGAGCGAGACCGATGCCTGACTCTTTGGCCACCACACGCTCCACCTCCAGATCGCATTTATTTCCAACCAGGATCATGGGAACCTAAAGTGGCGCGCCAAACACTCACATTCAGACAGCTGTTTGCAGCACATTCAAAGATGATCACTGGATTCTTTTAACGGGAGAAAAATCATGTGAAAACCAGAAAAGAGGACATCAGTGTTTCATCTGGTTTTAAAAATCTGTAACGTTTGACGTGAAGTCAGAATGTATGTTTCCTTAATTTTTTTATTTATATTTATCCATTTTGTAAATCATCTGTTTCATAATAAAAACATGTTTGAAATTTTATTCAGTCATTTTATTGACTAAATCAATGCAGAATCTTAAATTCATGTTAATATAAATACATTTCTAACTTGAAACATATTAAAAATATTGGGTTTTTAAAAAATGTTGTACAAAACAATGTTTTCTTTTTATTAATACTTTCTTTTTTAATTCATTTTTTGGTTTTATTCTCATTTTAAATGTAGATATTATAAATTAATTTGCTTGTTTTATTTTATTTGTTTAAAATCTTGTTTAGAAGCATTTTCTATTTTTTTTTATTACAAATTTGCTTTTTTATTCTTTTACATTTAAATTGCAAATTTGCAGTTTTTTTATTTTCTTCTTTCTCTACTAGATGCTGATTAAAAATAAAACTTTTTGGAACCTATGTAATGTAACTCATGTCTGGCAGGGGGAGCAATGCTAAAGGCCTCCACACAGGCTGGCTGATGATGGCGTGTTAAAACAAGTGACCTCTGTTTCATGAGAATAAATTACACATACACCCATCAGCAGTCAGTTAGCTAGCTTAGCATAAGCCTGACAGCAGGATTATGTGGAGGTGATAGAGTCCACTTCCTCTTAAACTCAGATTTAACTGCTTTATCTCAAATTACATTTTTATATCATTGTAAACTATTTTTGGCTGCCACCAGAAACTTCTCCCTTTCTCCACTGGTTTTCTAGGCAACTTCCTCTGAGCCAAGAAACAAGAGTTTTAAATACAAACATCAGCAACTGACTAACTACAACCGGACAAATTACTCAGGAGCTCCTTAACTATGCTACAGACTCCTTCATCTGACAAAGAAGGCTCCAGAAAACGTTAAGAGGAGCTTCAGTGCTTAACTTAACTGAAACCATGACTTAAAACTGCATGTTAGGGTGAGTTTAGGCAAAGTATAGGGTGCTGTGGTTTCTTACATCTTCCGTGTCCTTCACTCTGAGGATCTGCTCTCGGAGGTCTTGAAGGTCGTTGAAGGTGGACTGAGCCGTGATGGAGTAAACCAGAGCAAAGCCCTGGCCATTCTTCATGTACAGGTCTCTCATTGCTGTGAACTGCTCCTAAAGACAGACAGACAGGTGGTCAGGACTCAGTCAGGCACATCTCATGGTCAAAAGTATGTAGACAGAGCCAGGTCTTACTGTTCCTGCTGTGTCCAGGATCTCCAGCATACACTGCTGTCCATCGACCTCGACTTGCTGCAGAAACATAAGAAATGAATCATAACTGTGGATTATAACTAAAACTAATTAAACTATAGATGCTTCTAAAAATGTGTGAGGATGAAGAGGTCCTACCTTCCTGTAGGAGTCCTCTATCGTGGGGTCGTATTTCTCCACAAAGATTCCCTGAACAAACTGGACAGTCTGGAGATGGACAGACGGACGGACATGAGTAGCGGGACAAAGAGAAGTAGGACAGCAGTGTTAATGGAGCTCTGTTCAGCTCCCCATTGGGAGTCATTAGAGCGGAATTAATGTGACACTGTGACACGTCTCCATTATATCATGGGGAGTAAAGCACTTCATTGTAGTGTGACTGACACCGCCGTGTTAGTGTGTCAGTGATGGCCGGCGCAAAAACGAAGCACAGTGACATCACTGTGCAGCCATTTACACAGGAATCTGCACTGGAGCACTCCAGCCATGCAAGTCCCAAAGCTGCAAACACAGTTTTACCTCAATGTACAAACGTGAATGCACAAAAATCAGTATATGAATAATACAAACACTAGTGCAAGAACAGGAAACGCAATTTCCCGCAACGTTACATCACCTCTTATTAATTTTTGACTCTTCTTATAAAGTTTTGTAAAACATAATGACTGAAAATTGTTTTTCTAGTCTTTCATACACACATTTTGAATATAATTATCTTTATAAAAGCTTTATTATATCTTTATATAATTAATTATATTATTTATTTGTCTGTTTATATTGTATTTTTTATCTTTAATCTTTATCTTATTCAGTATTCATAAATATATTTTCTATCTTCCTATTCAGTCTTTATCAATTTTTATTTATTTTAAATATTTAAAAAATAATAATTTATTTATTTTTCTTCTATTTTTCTTCTTTTCTTTTATATATTTTATATAAATATTTGTCACTATTTCAGTGGGGGGTTTTATATACATATTACAAGTATTTATTTTCAGTTTTTCTATTTCTTTATTAGTTTTTGGTGGGGACTATTTTCAGCAGCGGATTAATCGACATTGAATATTTGAGTTAAAATAAAGTGCAAGGTGTTGCCATGTGGCTCTGAGCTCATCAGCAGGATAATTTCAGTGTTGATTACATTTTTTTTGGCACTCACTGACATTAAATAGAATAACATCAGATTCTCACTTTAATGCAAACAGCTTATTAACGTGGATTTTTTTTTTTTACTTACCAGAGCTGACTTGCCGACGCCTCCTGATCCTAAAACAACCAGTTTGTATTCACGCATCCTGACTGTCTGTCTGCTGGGTGAGAGACACAAACACAGAGGAGGAGACCGTTAACAGGTCGCTATTGGACATCCAGTCACAGCTACCAATCACACAGCAGGATTACAGTAAGCCCCACCTCCTCCTATGATGCACCTGGAGATGTAACACCATCAATTACAAACACACAAATGAAGACTTCCTGCCCCTCACTGGGAGATAATGATTACCCAGCATGCATGTGGTAAGTTACTGAAAACTGCGGAGTCACATGATCTCACAGCTGGTGGTGATGTCACTGCTATTGAATCCTTCCTGGTTACTGTTGCTATGCGTTCATGTCTCAGTGTGTGGATGCATACCAATCATTCCTCGCCATGTGTGTGCAAACCTTCACTGTCACGGCAACAAAAAGCAACATGATGCACAAACACACACACACCCAAATACACACACGTTTAAGATTGTTCATGAGGACCCCTGCTGACACGATGTGTTTACAGACCCTAAAACCATTTCAAATTTTACCATCACAGCCTGTAAACAACACAAATACAGCTACTAACTGACAGCCAGAAAAGACTCTATAAGTGAGTAACACCAGGTGTAATCTAATATTTAAAGTCGACCCTTATACCCTGCCACATATCTCCTGCTCCGATGGTGGATGTTCATATTAAGCATGGCCAAGTTTCTAATAAGGTCAGCATATGTAAAAATAAGCCCCATGAGCCAAAAGCTTGCACTCTAAACACTCTGATTCAGACAGATTCCACTATTATCGGATCTCTGTGATGTCATAGAGTGCAGATATCCCTAATCTGATCATCTCAGGCTCCAGAGCTCAACCTGCCTGCTGTTAAAACCAGAAATGTATTGACCACCAGGGGGCGGCTCCTCACCACAAACAGGCTTCTGTTTTTTCATTACCGAGTTTGAGGTTTCATTACGAGACTTCACTGATCAGCTGGTGATGTAACACTGGCTACACCCATCTCATATCCTGTCTGTGGTTCATACATTCTCTTTACGAGGGGCAGCCAATCAGAACAAAGGTGACTTAAAAGAAGGATAAAAGTCTTGCAACCTGGAAACCATGTTAGATCAGGTCTCCAGAAGCTGTTACTTTAATTTTAGAGGCTGCAGGGATATAAAAGAAGAATCGCATGCATGAAAGTTTGGTTTCTGTAACTGTGCAGTGTACAACAAAAACGTAAATACTGTGTCACAAATACTCTTAACTGACCTAAGACAAGACTAACTCAAGACAAAATGCTTCTTAAATTTAAAGCTTTTATTTTGGTAACCAATCTGAGAATAAACACTTATGATAAACAAGTTACCATCAAACATTCAGTTTAAGTTAAAGTTGCTTAATATTTTGGAGGCAACAAGTGTTTACAATTTTTAGGTAAATCCGTTATCTCAAATAATAGGACTATTAATGTCTTCATGTAGTTATATATTTAAGTCACTGCAAGACTCCTGTTGTGACTAATCACACTCAGTGAGTACTCTTGCTTGAAACTTTTGCCCAAATCCTATTTTCAGAGTTTATCTATTCTATTTTGGGGACAAGAAACAAGAAGAGAACGACTCCCAGTGGATTTTATTGTTCAGGGCTTTTGTTCATATTTTAAATAAAAACTAGTGTGGTGTATGGGTCACAGAAAACGCCCTAAAAAACCCTAAAAATGTTAAATGTCTCCATCTCCAGTCACGACAGCTGTATAAATGCGCTAAATGCACACAAGTGATCAGGTGGAGACTGGGAGGAGTTCAAATCTCAGGTTTTATCTACCCTATTGTCAGTGAAGGCATCAGCAGTAATGGATTTCATCGCCTGAGGGTCTGAACAGGCTTGCCTCACTACAACACTCTGCAGCAAGTCCAGACGGGTTCAACGCTTCGCGAGAAGTAACTCACTGGAGCAGCAGAGGTGAGGCCATCAAGGGGAAAGCTGGATGAGCCAAAACATCTAAAACCCTTCGATCACACCTGAAGCCCTATCTCTGGACATTTACAAGTCCGCTTGTCACAAACCTGCCTCTGCGGGAGAGCACCTGCATCGGGACTTTCCCCCCTCATGCTTCACGATGCTGTGCTATGACGAAATATAATGAGACGTTACAGAAACACGCACAGACACACAGCAACAGCAGGAAGAAAAAGATCATCACGTCTTCCAATAAATCAGAACTAAGGTTCAGAAAGTACTTTAATTTAAAAAGCTCTCATAATCCATCCATATACTTCCACTTATCCACTTTTGGGTCAGAGCAAAGTGAGCAAATTAAAATAGACACACTCTTCTCTTAAACTTCTTAAAGAATATCAGCTGATTTGCTCTTACCAACACTGCTGCTCATGAAATATTTGTCTTTACAGCTCAGGCTGCCTAAACCTGGTTTGGCACACCCACAGGCATCAAACCCAGAGGAAGTGCCAAACAGGAACCTCGGGACGTGGAAAATTAACCTGAAGTACCAAAAAAGCTGCAGTTTCCCTAATATCGAACAGACACTGTTTTTGCTATAGAAAGATGGGAGAGGCAGGTGGCTTCAGCTAATTGGAGTCTGTGAACTGGACTCCAATAATATCTCCAAAACGACCACAAAACACAAACGATGGTGCCTTCACCATCTTTTATACACAGTCTGTGGAGAAAGCAACACACAGTCATGTCCCAACAATACACAGAGGAAGAAAGCTTCCATATCTCCTTATAGTCCAAATTTGTAACAATTCAAAAAAGAAATACTGCCCTTTCTGCACACTATGAGTGTATTTCCTTATAAATGAACCCTCACTGTGGGTCTGTTTAAGTTTAACTCCAGTTCAGACTTAATGCATGAACAACAACAATCAAACTACACAGCAAATTATTATATAACTGTAAAATGAGGCGTCACTGAGGCTTTTATGTTGTATTGTGATTGTACCACATAAACGCTGACTGAAAGGAAGACTTTAACCTGAAACTTCATACTTCACGTCAGTGCTTCCTGCTTGTTTTGTTTACATGTGAACAAAAAGAGGATCTGCTGCTATCAACATAGACTGCTGGCATTAATTTATAGGCTATAAATACATTAATCTTTAGTTACCAGAGCATCACTGCACATATACACACAGTTCAACCCAACCTGAAACCTGCATTTTATTCTTATATTTCAGTATTTTGCTCACTCAGTGGGCACTTCTGCTTTTTCCAGCAATCACTGAATAATGTTAATCTACTAAAGTGAAGTTGTCAGAGCAGAAAGATGGACTCACAATACGCACAGATCCCTGAGTCAAGCAGAACTAGGTGGGGCCTGTCAATACTCAGTGTGTGTGTGTGTGTTGCTGACAGGCAGTACAACAGGAGAGGAATAAAACCAAGCAGTGTCTGTGCAACCAAACTGGCTTTGATTGCAGGTTCCCTCAAGCTCCCAAACTCTGCATCCTCTCATCAATCACTTCCACTCGTTTTTTCTTTTTTTTGCCTCCGGGAGAGCAACGGGGCTTCCGCAGCTCTGTGGCCGCCTCACAATGCTCCCTACCCGGGAAGCTCTGCAAGCAGGCCCCGCTGCCTCAGAAGAGCGGAGACAAAACGCGAGCAGAAGCGGACTTCGGGCTCTACAGACCGGAAACAGACTCACAGACGGACAGACAGCCGCCGTGACGCCGTGAAGCAGTCAGCCCGTGTCTGATATAAACTGTATTCTCATCAGGACAGCCGCCGTCCGTCTGTCTGCCTTTACGTCCATCCGTCTGTCTGTCCGCCGGTCGCTTGCTTCCGCAAACCCAGCCCAGCGCGGCTCCCGACCGGCCTGTCGCCCGTCCCTGCTAGCCGGGACATTTCCCGGTTCGACCCAGGCTAGCTCATATCTACATGAAAGAGGGGGGGAAAAGGAGGGGGAAGCGAGGAAAAAGAGGTAAAAGCGCGAAACGGGAGAAAAGAAGCAGTACTCACAGTCATCCACCCGTCCGCTCCGCTGCGCTCTCCGCCGCTCACTCTCTCTCCTGTTCGCAGTGAACGTCGCTCGACCAGAGCCGCTCCCTCCTGCTCCCGACGCGCTGACGTTAAGCTCGACGCGGCGAACGCAAGAGCCTCCTGTTCGACTTTTCAAAATAAAAGACGTTACAAAACTGGTTCAAATATGAAATAAATTGTAGTTTTAAACATATAATTCTGCTTCATCTTGAGGTTTTTTTTTACACATTATTATATCATAAAGTCATAAAATAAATATAAATAACATATTATTCTTACTTTAATTTCTAATAATTTGGATTTCATTATACATTATTAAGATATCTCTGTTGTTATATTTTATTTTAGACAAGATAACATAAGATATATTTTATTTATAAAAACGATTTGGAAAAAATAGCATTAAATAACTAGAAATGTATATACCTTAATAAATAAAGTAATATAATGTTGGAATTCTATTTGAATCAAACCTCTAATGACAAATAGTGACAGCTTATTTACAAGGTGTTGCTACCGCAGGTAGCTCTGTATACTTGAATTGGGCCATGATAGTGAGCTATGGCTGAAAGCTACAATTTTTTTTTTTAAAGTGAGCCTTGAATTAAATGAACTAAAAATATGATTCAAGCATAAATAGCATGGAAATTATTTTCAGCATGAAACAAAAAACAGGCATTTCATGTCAGTATTTTCAATATAAAGCTTTCCTCTGAGCATTGAGTACAAAATGCTGAGAAAAAGTTGTATAAATTTACTGGTGTGAAAATAATTGAAAAAAACAAAACAAAATGACAATAAGCAGCCAGGATGAAATAAATATAATACAACACAGAACTGATGTTCTTCTTCAGAATTTCAAAGTAAAGACACCTTCATAAGCAAAAAAAAACAACAACAAAACAAAACAAAAATAACTAATACCTGGTAACTAACTAGTAATAAATAGTTAAAAATATAGAACTAGTGAAGAAACCAGCTAAGAAGTCAAGAAGTCTTTATTGCTAATAAGCTAAGAAATAAAAACAAATTAATGTCTATAAATGCACTAGCACAAGAAGATAATTTAAATTCTGTTATGAACAGCTAGATTAACAACTAAACACAAACAAAAATGCTATGTTTACATTAACTAACTGTAACCATGAACCTGAAGATTAGTATGATTTGATGAGACTTTGTATTTTTGTATTTTACTCACTAGAAGCCATTCAAAACACGTTTATTTAATATCAAACCAAATTACTTTCTCCACTCTTGTCCTCGGCTTATATGTTTATTTTGAAGGTAGACTGCATTTACTTCCGGTTTCTCTTAGGCTTCGTCACAGCTTTGGTTCAAGACCCCTCTTCTTTTTTTCTTGTGACGTTTCAGCCTCGCTCTCAGCTGCTTCCTGTTTCCTGTAAAACAGAACCTCTGTTTCTCTGTGGTTTCTGCTTTTATTTCAATAAAGTCACATTAAACACTTTCAGTTTTCTATTGTTGTTGTTGTCAATGTTGTCAGCATGTCATGATCAGTCCAATCAGGATCCATATACAGGTTTTTAGATAAAATAAGATAAAATTGTGAAAACATTTCAGTGGGAATATATCCATCAATTGTTTCATTTAGAACAATCTTTGTATTTTTTTTTATATATGTAAAAGGTCAGAAATGTTTACAAACATTTTTAACCAATTGAAGTCTACAAAAAACTTTTTTTCCTTTCATCTGATTGTTTGGCATCCATAATGGGTTTTGTTTAAGTATATTAACAACAACATTCTAAAAGTGACAGAAAATAATGAAACTGCCAAATATTCACTAGCTAAAAATGAACTGCCACATGTCTCTGTTCTTGGGCCTTTACTGTTCAAATTTTATATAAATGTCATCAAATACAGCAACCGTAGAGCCCTAATATCCACTAATAACAACAAATAAAAAAGTCTACACAAATTATTAACATTTTCATAATCACCGTTCGTCTATAACATAATTTACTTCCTGTTTAATGTACAAATTGCACAGGAATAATGAAAAGGGGACATTTTTGTGCACTGTAATTCAAATACAGACTTCTATATTTTTTTCTAACCACTGGGTAAGATTTTGTATTTACAATCATGGAAAATGATGAAACTACCAAAAGTTTCCATGTGACCATGTGGTATCAGAGGCATTTGAGCTGTGGAGTACCCCAGGGCTGTGCTCTTGGTCCTTTGCTGGGGGTGCTCAAGCACCCTTAAATTTAATTACAGCATCCCTAAAAATAACTGTAGCAATAGTATGTTGTCTTCTAATGTTATTATGCCAACTCATCTACTGCAGACAGGATAGAGTGAAAACTATCCAGTGTTGCACATCGGGGTAACTTTGTGGGGGGGGGGGCAAGATCTCTGTCTAAATAAATAAATAAATCTGGGTAAATTCCCATATGATTAAACATCATATGGGTAATACCTGAAGTGAATGAAGAAAGAAAATCAACAGCCTATTTATTGGGGGGGTCATAAACCCCCCCTAACCGCCCCCTGGAAATTACACCCCCGGTATTGCGTAATATTGATAACAACTGAGTTTAACATTTAACTTTTGGATGACGGCACACAGTCTTAGAGAGGCGGATAGAGAGGGAGAGAAAAGGAGAGAGCAGAAATAAACAGATAACAGTGGACACGTAGGCAACATGTAACAGCAAAATATTCTAGAGTTTCAGCTTCTGTTTTTCCCACATTTATTGTTGATGACTCACATAACTAAATATTGTATTATACTGATATCAAAGTGGTTGTATACAATGTTTTTGTATGGAATGGAGGAGTGAGGAAGATGGAGAGAAAGAAGAAGAACCAGGTGAGTAATCTTAATGACCTTGTAGTACCATATCAGCCTATTAGAGCACTTCACTCTTGCACTGTTCCTACAGTATTTAACAGTAGAATGGGAGGGAGAGCCTTCAGTTTTCAGGCCCCTCTTCTGTGGAACCAGCTTCCAGCTTGGATTCAGGAGACAGACACTATCTCTACTTTCAAGATTAGGCTTAAAACTTTCCTTTTTGCTAAAGCATATAGTTAGGGCTGGACCAGGTGACCCTGAATCCTCCCTTAGTTATGCTGCAATAGACGTAGGCTGCCGGGGGATTCCCATGATGCATTGAGTTTTTCCTTTCCAGTCATCTTTCTCACTCACTTTGTGTTAACAGACCTCTCTGCATTGAATCATGCATGTTATTAATGTCTGTCTCTCTTCCACAGCAGGTCTTTATCCTGTCTTCCTTCTCTCACCCCAACCGGTCGCAGCAGATGGCCCCGCCCCTCCCTGAGCCTGGTTCTGCCGGAGGTTTCTTCCTGTTAAAAGGGAGTTTTTCCTTCCCACTGTCGCCACAGTGCTTGCTCATAGGGGGTCATATGATTGTTGGGTTTTTCTCTGTATCTACTGCACAATATAAAGTGCCTTGAGGCGACTGCTGTTGTGATTTGGCGCTATATAAATAAAATTGAATTGAAATGAAATTATTATTGTTTTTTTTTTACCAAATATGTTGACATGCGTTTCATGGATGCTTTGTGTGCTTTCCAGCAGCACACTGAAAATGGTGCATGTTCGAAAGAACATATTTATTGACGTGAGTAGTAGAATTTGACAGGATCTATATCACTCTAAACATGGCATAAAACGATAGTTGAAACTACACTGATGTCACAGACTACAAATCTGTTCTCCACTCTTGAATTGGGGCTACATGCTGATGCTCTGTGCTGATTCTGCATAATAAAAGGAGGGTTTGTATGAATTTACAATCTTTAATGTAAAAGCAGCTGTCTTATCAGTTTACTTCATGTTGAGGTGTATGGAGTAGTAGTGTGATTTTCCACTTTCTTTGTTGAATTGTGCTGCTTTAAGTGCTTAATGATCTGGTCAGCTGCTTCTATGCGGTTAAGAGACTGAAAACACACTATGCATGTTTCTTCTTTCTCCTCACAAGTTGTTCTTTACTTTGGAAAATTCTGATCTATTGAGCCTTTGATTGAAGATTGATAACTAAAATTAAGTTGCTTTTAAATTTACTGCTTTTATTTATTGAAATAAGGTTTGCAAATGTGAAAAGAGCTGACTACATTTGAAAGTGGTATATTCCATTAATATTAACTGTAAGGTGCTATACGCATGACATTATGACTGGGGGCTGAGCCCCTCTAAAACTCTGAACCTACATTCACCTCTGTCCTTTACAATTCAAACGATATGGAAATAGCATCAAATCTGGAAACTAATATTAATAATACCCACCATAAATAACAATAGTAAAGTTTGTAGTTGGCATATTAAAAAGTTAAATTATTATTATACCTCTATTAAACAATCTTCTTCCTGTTTAATCTATAAATTAATGATGAAAAAGGGACATTTAGATACCCTTAAGTCAAAATGGAGACTTTTATGTGTCATCTTTTTCTAACCACGAATAACATTTTGTGTTTTTTTTTTATGAGTATGTCTCTATAGAACAACCTGCTGATATTCCTGAGCACACTACTGATATTTCAAACAGTTTTTGGCTGTAATATGACAACATTAATCAAAATTTCCATCAATTTAAAACTAAAGAAATTCATTTGGACTTCCCTTTGCTTTGACACAACAATCACCCCAATACCAACACATTGCTCCTCCCCCCGTGCTGCATCATCGTTGATGACTGAGCCGGATTACATTTGTGTGTGAAGAACTCTACATATTGCACCAGAGCTTTCAGGCTACTAAACACACACACACACACACACATACACACACAATGAGGAAGTGTGTGTCAGTGAAAGGGAAGCTGTTTGGGTGGAGGGCAACTCTATTCTTGGTGACTCCTTCCTGTTTGGGTGTGGCTTCACAGTACTGTATCTATGATTGTAGTAAACACAGTGTGTGTGTGTGTGTGCGTGCCTGCGTGTGTTACTCATGTTGTGTGGCAATACAGCAAATCTGACTATGCATCATAAAAGTCGCCTTAAGGTGAATCATTCAGGTGATGTTTTGGTCTAAGTCCTGGAATGAAATGATGGAAACATGAGTGTGTGTGTGTGTTGAGGCGTACT